TCAAAGAGCTGATCACACTCTGGTTAAACTGCTCAGAGACACAGGGAGGAACAGGGCTGTCCACAGCCTTGTCCCCAAGTGTTTGTCACAGCCACCCCAGAGCCTGGTGCTGGACTGTGCACTGAGGGCCAGGAGATGCCCCAGTGCAAGGAGAGGGGATTTACTGGGGCAGGGGGTGCCAAGGAGCAGGGACTGGGGAGGGACAGCAGGGTGGGTGCCTGGGGCGCTCGGGATGAGGAAGAGGAGGCAGGGGGTGGGACAGGAGAGGGGTGACCCCCACTGAAGCAGCCGCAGGTGCCAGAGCAGCCCCGGAGCCCTCCCAGCCCCGGTTTCAATCAGCCCTCCATCACACACTGTTTGCTTTTGCCGACAGCTCATTTACTCGCACTTGTCAAGCACGTTGTAAATAAGTGAGAGAAACAGCCCTGCCCTTCCTGAGCAAGGCACGGCCAGGAAGGGGCCGGTCCCCCCGCCGCTCATTCCCAGCACCGGAGCCAGCGCTGCCAGGAGGGGCCGGGTCATCCACGCTGCTCCCAGCAGGGCTGGGAAAGCGCTGAGCATCCACCACCGCCCTCGGGAAACAAGGGGAGCACCCGTCCTGGACTCCCAAAGTCCACGCCACCGAGTGTCCGTAATTATTTAGCTTAAGGATAATCTGCATCTCTCAGATACAGCCAGCCATCATCTCCGAGGTAATCTCAGGTCACGGAGCCAGAAGGGAAGAGTAATCAGCCGTTCTGAGTGTGGAAGACACAAAGAAACAAGCAGTGAGAATCAGACGGTGGCAGCAGGTCCGTCACACACAGGGGTTGTGCTGTGTGTGGAGCTTTACTATCACACACAGGGGCTTGGTGTGTGTGGAGCTTTTCCATCACACACAGAGTGGGTTTGCTGTCTGTGGAGCTCTTCCATCACACACAGGGGTTTGGTGTGTGTGGAGCTTTTCCATCACACACAGAGCAGGTTTGCTGTCGGTGGAGCTTTTCCCTGGCAGCCAAAGCAGCTGGAGCAGCCCCAGCCCGGTGCCTGCCCTGCCCCTGGTCTCTGCATTTGCCCTCTCTCCCTTCAGCCAGGCTGAATCTCCCCAGCTGGTGCAGCAATGTGAGGGGAGCCCAGCGCTGATGGTCAGCACCCGAGCCAGGGTTAACGCAGTTAAAGCACAAAGCTGCTCCTCTGTAATCACATTGCCGAGGCTGTGGTTCCTGGCAGCCCCAGCCAGCCTCCAGGCTCCTCACAGCCCCAGAGGGGAAGGTTTGCTCCAAGATGGGGATGTGTTTTACAGGGGCTTGCTCAGCACAGTCACAGGGCAGGGGCAGCATCCAGAGCAGACCTGGGCACAAGGACGAGAGGGGGAAGGCTCTGCAGGTGGAGAAAATCCTCACAGGGCAATTCCTGAGCTGCTGCAAGTGCCACGGTGGGTTTGCAGCTCAGGGGAGTTCAGCCAAGTCTTACAGTGCCAGCAGAGCCCCATTTGCAGCACATGCCTGACACTGACATCTGACACTGGGGACAGACAGCTGGACCACAACAACAGCCACGCTGTCCCCAGAGCTCCTCCTGCCCTGACTCTGGCAGGAAAAGCCCACTGGGAGCAGGGCTGGGCTATCACAGCTGCATCCCTCATGGATGTCTCTTCCTCCATCTCCAGAAGCAGATGCTGCATTTGCTCAAGTCCCCCAGAAACCAACAGCTTTGCTCCAAAAGCAGCTCTGAGAGCAGCAGTGCCAACACAGCCCCTGCAGGGCTCATCCTCCTGGCCTGACACCGTCCTCCCTGGGGACACTGCCAGGGGCACTGCCAGAGGCACTGACAGCTCTGCAGAGCCTGGCCCTGAGCCACAGGAACCTTCCTGCCCTTAGTGCTGCCCTGCCCAGGAGGGCTCAGGGGGGCCTTGAAAAGCAGGAGGCACCACCCAAAGCCCCAAAGCTGTCTGATCTCTGCACAGCTTGAAGGTTGCAGCCATGGAGGCTCCTGAGGAGCTGCTCTGTGCTTGGACAGTGTCCCTTTTCCTGGCTGCAGCACACAGCTGGCACATGGGCTGTGCTGGCCCTTCATCCCCACCCCACAGCAAAGCCCACATCCCCTTGGCCAGACTGTGGCCACAGCAAAATGAGCTGCCTCTTGCTGAGCTGCAGCAGTTTTGAAGGCTTTGCAAATCAGATTCCTGCCCAGGCTGATATTTCCAGCTTAATTTGTCTGTTCACAGAGCACAGACACCGGGGTTTTTCCCTGAATAGCCCTAGTATCAAATGACTGGTAAGCCAAGCTAATGGATCAGTTCTCCCTTGCAAGAAGCAGCTGATTTTCCCAGCTCCTGTCTCCCACTGCTCTGGCATCCCCAGAGAGGTCTGTCCTGACAAACCAGCCTGGACACAGCCCCAGCTGCAGCTCTCCCAGCTCAGGCTCCTGCCCAGCCCTGTGTGCCCACCCTGCCCCAAGCACCCTCCTCCTCAGGATCTCCTTCCTGCATTTCACTGCTCCTTCTTGCATTTTACACCAGATTTGCTTTAAAATTGCATCCTGGGCTCTTTACACCTTGCTGGGATGGAAATGATGCTATAAACTCAATTTACAGTGCCTGGTAGTTGCTGTCACACTCCTTTTCTCCCTCCTGGCCCCACACCCCAGCAGTGGGATTTCCATCAGCTTTGGCAAGCCAAGATAACCAACCCCCCTTTGTCATGACTTTGTAGGGCCCATGATGGCTCTCCATATCACCCAAAGAACACCCTCTTGGCTACTGAGGCACAGAAAAGCTTTTGAAAGAGATGTGATGTTCTCTGGAGCACTTTTTCACCTGCCCAGTGGCCAGGCTCCTTCCAGAGCTCAGGGAGCAGATGCTCCAGGGCTTTGCTGTGAGCACAGCCCCCTACCCTGCCATGGGCTGGGGAGGACAAACAGCCCCATGCCCTGAAAACCCCAGAGCCCAGAGCTCCTGCCAGGATGGAGCCCCAAGATGCCCTTTTGAGATGCTCAGATTGGAAATGTCCTTGCACAGCTCCACCCTGGCTGGTCCCCAGCCCGTGTCAGGATCACAGCCAGCCCAGCACAGAGCTGGAATCAGTGGGTTCCAGCAGGGCTTCGTGCCCGGGCAGTGCCAGCCGGGTGCCCCAGGGCCAGCAGAGGTGGCCGAGCTGTCACCTGTGTGCATCAGCGGCCCGGGGCCGCCCGCAGAGCAGGAGCTTGGGTTGGTAACGAGGTTCTCAGGCTTTGTGCGCTGCTGTTGCTATTTTAGTCCGTCTGAAACGTGCAGGAAAAGGAATCCGGAGGCTGTGTCTCCTGCGGAGCTGTTTGTGCTGACCCACTTTGGGAGCCTGCGGAGCCGCAGCCACAGCGCCGGGAGCGGGGCCGGGCAGCGCCGGCCGGGCCGGGCCGGGCCGGGCCGCGGCTGCGGCTGCGGGAGGAGCCACCGGCCTGGGCCGGAGGGGACCCACCCGGGGACAGGGACCCGCCCTGGGCCTGCAGGGGACAGACACCAACACGGGGAGGGGACAGGCACCCACCCACACGGGGACAGCCACCCGGCCTGGGCTGGCAGGGAACAGGGACTCACACGGGGACAGGGACCCGGCCTGGGCCGGCAGGGGACAGGAACTCACGGGGACAGCACCAACACGGGGACAGGGACCCACAGGGGGACAGCCACCGGCCTGGGCCGGCAGGAGACAGCCACCAACACGGTGACACCAACACGGTGACACCCACACGGGGACAGGGCCCACACGGGGACAGCCACCAACACAGGGACAGGCACCCGCCCTCGGCCGGCAGGGGACAGGCACCCACACGGGGACAGCCACCCACCCACACAGAGACAGGCACCCACACGGAGACAGGGCCCACAAGGGGACAGCCACCAACACGGGGAGGGGACAGCCACCCACACGGGGACAGGGACCCATACAGGGACAGCCACCCACATGGGGACAGTGACCCACGTGGGGACAGCCACCAACATGGGGACAGGCACCCACATGGAGAGGGGACAGGGACCCACACGGGGACAGGAGCTGCTCCGCCACCCTGCACCAGCCAAGGGAGGGATCCAGGGGTTTTACCCCCAAAATCCCCATCTGCAGCACTTAAAACTCCTCAAACACCCCACACAGGGGTTTCTCCTCTCCCAGAGCAGTGCCACCCTCCAGGGGTTTCTCCTCTCCCACAGCAGTGCCACCCTCCAGGGGTTTCTCCTCTCCCACAGCAGTGCCACCCTCCAGGGGTTTCTCCTCTCCCACAGCAGTGTCGCTCTCCAGCAATCCAAACCCAGCCCCCAGCACACAACAGGACCCAGCAGAGAGTGCCACTGTCCCACACAGCTCCGTGGGGCAGCCCCGGCCCCAGAGGAAGTGGTTTAGGGTGTTCACTGCACCCACAGAGGGCAGGCAGAGCCTCAGAGCCCTGCTCACACACATTTCTGTGCCAGAGCTGCTGAGACAGCGCTCCCGGGCCAGGCTGGAGCTCCTCAGTGTGGGGAAAGTGCTGGGGCTGCCTTGCTGGGCATGAAAAACAGCACTCCCCAAACGAGCCCTCTATGCTTTGAGCACATCTGTGGGGTCAGGATCAAACACCTGAGCCCACCCAAGGGCACAGAAGGGGCAAATCTCTGCCCCACTGCTCCTATCACCTTAGCCCTTTCATCAGCATCCAGAGATCCCAGCTTGAACCTGTCCCTCTGCTCTCCATCCTGCCCCAGAGGCTCTCAGAGCAGGCTGGCCACGGGGTTGTGGAGCTTCAGCTGTCCAAATATCCAAATGCAGATGCTGGGAGGTGTCAGCCCAGCCTGCTTCAGCTCCAGCCAGCAGATGCAAATGCAGCCACTGCTCCCCAGGCAGGGCAGGAAGCTGCAGACACAGCAGTGCCTGAACACAAACTCCCTGCTCACCTGGCAAACAAAGAGCCTCCTGCACGCCCTCCTGGCAGGAGCATCCCTGACAAAGCCCCCCAGAGGCAGAGCCTGCCGTGCTCCAGGCAGGAATGCCCAGCTCCCGTGGCTCTCTTACCTTGCTCTCCGTAGGAGCCGCTGCCGGATGTTGCTGCTTGGTGATGTTCTCAGCCAGACACCAGCAGATCCTCTTCTTCTGCTCCTGGGAGTAAGCCTCCAAACTTAATAAGCACTCCGACTTCTGACGTAAAGGAAACACAGGCAGGGAGAAGGTCATTAGCTGTGTGTCACAGGCCCTGCAAACTCCTCTGTCCCCACACAGCACAGCAGAGCAGGGGACAGCTCTCAGCCCTGTCCTGCACCCTGGGCACAGGAGAGGCAAAGGGATTGGAGACCAGCTCCCTCCAGGGACAGGGAGAGTGCTGCAGGGGAGCTTCCATGGGCAGGAGGGGAGCAGCACAGGCAGAGCACAGGCAGTCCTGCACCCTGTGCCACTGCAGGGGAAACCGAGGGTGGAAATTGCTCTTTGCCATATGCAAACATTAATGAGGCACCAGAGCATGAACTGGTGAGAATGAGAGCCTTTGGGCTGGGTGGGGCTGGGAGGAAGAACTCAGGGAAGCTCTAGAGCAGCCTCACTGTCCTGCTGCTCACTGAACACCAGGACGAATCTGGGGATAAACTTCAGAGCAGCCCCCATCCTATTCCTCGTTTAACACCAGGATGAATTTGTGGATAAACTTCACTGCATCCTCCCCATTCTGCTCCTCAGTGAACCCCAGGATTAATCTGGGGATAAACTCCAGAGCAGCCTCCCCATCCTGCTCCTCACTGAACACCAGGGTGAATTTGGGGATAAACTCCAGCCTCCCTGTCCTGTTCCTCACTTAACATCGGGATGAATCTGGGCATAAACTCCAGAGCAGCTTCCCATCCTATTCCTCATTTAACATCAGGATGAATTTGGGGATAAACTTCACAGCATCTTCCCCATCCTGCTCCTCACTGAACACCAGGATTAATCTGGGGATAAACTCCAGAGCAGCCTTGCTGTCCTGCTCCTCACTGAACACCAGGATGAATTTGGGGGTGCACTTCACCGCATCCTCCCCATCCTGCTCCTCATGAGCACCAGGATCAGAATTTGGGGATAAACTCTAGAGCAGTCCCCCATCCTACTCCTCATTTAACATCAGGATGAATTTGGGGATAAACTCTAGAGCAGTCCCCCATCCTGCTCCTCACTGAACAGGATGAATTTGGGAATAAACTTCACAGCATCTTCCCCATCCTGCTCCTCACTGAACACCAGGACCAGAATTTAGGGATAAACTTCACAGCAGCCTCCCCATCCTGCTCCTCACTGAACACCAGGACCAGAATTTAGGGATAAACTTCACAGCAGCCTCCCCATCCTGCTCCTCACTGAACACCAGGATGAATCTGGGATAAACTCCAGCCTCCCTGTCCTGTTCCTCACCAGGATGAATCTGGGGATGAAGCTCCAGCTCTGGTCACACACTGTCTGTTAGCAACATGCAACAAGGAAGGCATTAAGAGAAATGATGAGAAGTCATCCCAGCTGAGCCCACCTCCTCTTGTGCCCTTCCCTGCACACACCTTCTGTTCCTCCTGGACAGGTTTTCTTTGGGCCAAATCTCACTCACTTAAGGAACTTTCTGACCAAGTCTCCTCAGCAGCTGCCTCCCAGCCCTTCAACTGCTTATCTCTCATGCTAAAAATTAAGCATTATAACATCTGCTGCCTGCTGGGATTTTGCACGTTTCACTTTATAAAGAAATGCCCAAGGTTGGATCATCTCCTTAAGTGGCCAGAGGGGAAAAGAAAAAAATATCAAAGCACAACTTCAGGACAGACTGCAAAGAAAGGAAAAAGAGTCGTTCACTGAGGGCCATAAAAAAGACCTTTTCTTTCCCCCCAGAATTTCCTTCCAGAAGGGCAGGTCCCCAGTAGCTGGTTTTTCCCAGAAAGGTCAGAGAGAACCTGCAGCTTTGTGACTCCAGAGACATAACACAGCCAGAAGGGGAAATGCTCTTTAGTCACACCATTTAAATCAGTGTTTGCATTGGATGGGAATTCATTCATGTTCCATCCAAAATCCCCTGAAGTGGTAAATAAACCAAGCTCCCACATCACCTCCTGGGAAAGAGGGCTCTGGCTCAGTCCTTTGCCCCTGCAAGGAGACTTCCACGAGGAGAAAGTTTGAGCTTTCTTATGCCTGGACATCCCCACACTTATTCCTACAGGTTTTAACACTGAAAATTCCTTCTCAGGCTTCCTGAGCACAATCAGAATAAGCAGAGGTTTGGGATTCAGGGACAAGAAGTGGTGGGGCTCCCTCTTGCCCCCAGATCCTGGGTGGCAGTGATGCTCAGAGCATCCCTGGAGTGTCACAGTGAGTTTTTCCCATCCTGGATGTCCCAGTCTGTCCCAGTCCCACACCAGCAGGTCACCAGGCTGCACCACTGTGACACCCACTCATCCCTAGGAAGTCATTCCCACTTTAGAGGGGAGGATGGGCACCCTTTGCTGGGATGGAATCCAGGCTGGCACTTCCCTGCCCCACATCTGTGGTCAGAAGAGAAGGAAGCAGGAGCTCAGCAGAGCCCCAAAGCCCTGGGGAGCTGTGAGGAGCCCACCCTGGTGCTGGAAGTGCTGCACACCCCCAGCCCTGCCAAGCTCCTGTGGCTCCCCTGCAGCCAGGCTCAAAGCAGCTCCAAGGACATCTCTGTGCCCTGGCTGTGACAGACACAGAGCTCACCTAGCCCTGCCCTGAGCCCCTCCCTGATTCAATTACAGCCCATCTCTTTGATTGAATTTAGCACTCAGCCACGCTCAGCTCCTGCAGGCTGCTGAGAGCAAAGTGCCCCCTGCTCCTCCTGCTCCCCCTGAGCTGCTGCAGGCTCCCCAACCTCGGCCACCCTGGAGTGGCACAGCCAGGAGAGCACAATTCCCTCTGCTCCAGAGCTCAGGGAAGGGCAACCAGCCCAAAGTGTGTGCCAGGTACTGTGGGCAAGGCTGAGGGGGGCACATGAACAGCCAAAATTGCATTTATCCAACATAAATGCACCACAGTGACATTTAACCTCTCCAATGTGCATTTCCCAAGGAAAGAGCTCTGGTTTTCCCTCTCCCATCAACCTGCTTGCCCAAAAGCTTCACCTGGACTGGGGAAAGCCCAACCTGCAGGGGCTGAGCACCCACAGCTGCCTCCAAACCCAGGCAAAGCCCTTTGGGATGCAGCCAGATGAAGGGTTGGGTGTTATTTGGGATAAAACTCGTGTCCTGTGTCCCTGGAGCCTGGTCCAGGCTGGGTGCTGAGCTGCCCACCCAGGGGAGGCTGGGGAGGGGTCAGGGAGCTGTGCCTGCACACGCTGCCCTGGGAGCTGGGAACAGCCTCCCCTGATTGTTTTCCTTCAGGGAGGCTGCTGCTGGCCTGCCAATATTTACAGAGAGAAAACAGGGTTTGATCTCTAGGGCTGGGAAAGGAGGATGCAGATGGTGTGAAGGGGGCCTTTGCCACCAGATAAAGGCAGCGACTGGAGTGGCTGCCAGTGGCTTTGTGCCTGCCTTCCCACAGTGACAAACATGTTATTGCAGGTGCTGTGTGCTCAGGGCAGTCCCAGCACCCCACACTGCCCGAGGGAGGGCAGGAGAACACAGCAGGTACTGCAGAGAATGGTCCAAGCCAGCACCAGCCCCAGCCAGGCCCTGCCACAGCCAAGGATGCTCTGCAGGAAAAGTTCCTCCTGCTCCATGGGAACAGCTCCCCCAGGCTGGGACCCAACCCCACGGCAGCCAGGGACAGGTCTGGCCATGCAGAGCTCCTGCCTACCCCAGCAGACAGCACACAAGGAGGGGCTGTGCACTCTGCAGCCCATAAATCATGAGAGGAGCCCCCAGACCCCACACCCCGAGCCCCTGACTGCAGACACCCCTCTGTGCAGGGTCCCCTGGGGCTCTGTGTGACACTGCAAAGCTGAGACAGCACAGGAATGAGGAGCCAGACTCAGTCTGACACCTCTGGTGCCCTGAGCTCAGTGCCCAGCAGAGCCCAGGGCTGTTCTCTCACCACTGTCTGTCCTGGCTGTGTGAGGGACACATTCCCAGGCTGAGAGGGAGGGAATCAATCACAGATTGATTTGAGATGCAAGGGGCATTAAAGCCCATCCAGTGCCACCCCTGCCATGGCAGGGACACCTCCCACTGTCCCAGGTGCTCCCAGCCCTGCCCAGCCTGGCCTTGGGCACTGCCAGGGATCCAGGGGCAGCCCCAGCTGCTCACAGATGCAGGGATGCTCTGGTGCTCCTTCCCTGGGCTCTGTCCCCAGCCTGGTGGCAGGGTGCTTTGGGGACAGGCTCCCAGCCCAGCCCTGCCCTCCAAGGCTCAGGGTTGGGTCCTGGCCAAGGGCAGCAGAGATCCCAGAGGGGAAGTACCTCGGAAACTGCTCCAGACTACAATGGCTCCAAATCACAGAGCAAACCTTCCCAGGGAGAAACAGCCAGCCCTGGGAATATCCTGTGCACAAAACAGGGCACTGCTGCCTGCTGACTTCATGCTCCACCAACCAAGGGCTGCTGAGAAAGTTCTGTTTGCTCCCTGCTGGGGGAGTGGGGGGGACCAGGGCTCTTCCTGTGCGTTTTGGACTGCTGGGCACACTGGTGATGCCCAAAAAACAAACCCTGGCACTAACAGCAGGGGCTCGTCTAGAGCTGGGATGCCCAAAAGGTGCCAGGGGTGCTGCAGGAGAGGATGTGCATGGAGATAACACTGGCAGGACACAGCAGTCCCTGCATGGCTCTGCTCTGGGTCATGTTTTTGGGAGCACTGATGGTGGCATGGCCTGGGGGATGCCCAGAGGGTGTGGATGCCACATCCCTGGAAGTGTCCAAGGCCAGGCTGGACAGGACCCTGAACAACCTGACCCAGGGAGAGGCATCCTGGCCATGGCAGGGTTGGAACAAGATGGGCTCTAAGGTCCAACCCAAACCATTCTGCTATTCTGGGGTTCTCTGTTAAACCTCCAGGAGGAAAATCAGCCTGGAGAACCTTTTCCACCCCCTGTGGAGCAGCCAGTGAGGACACAAGGCTGTTTCCCAGACCAGGCAGTTGTGTTTAAGTGGCTCATCAGGTAAAAGCCTTCCCAGGAATCTCTGAGAGCAGCCAGGCACGGAGCTCCCACTGCAAACACTGCAGAGAGCAGGGCCAGCACCTTCCTGC